GTCTGTAGGAATGAGATTGGGTTATGTGTGTGTGTTGGTCTGTTACCTCTCACTCCACTTTTTCCTCAGAAGGCCCACAATTCCAAAAGACCATCCAAGACTCTGGCTTGGATGGTTTGTCTCATGACCCCTCTTTCTCCTACCCCCTTTCAGGAGAAAGCCTCTTTCATCTCTACTTGAGGATTTTGTCATTAGGAGCATGCTGTTGCTCTGGGTGAAGTTGTACTTCTGATTTCTGACTTTTATTTTTTTAAATTTGGCCAGGTGTGGTGGCACATGCCTTTAAGCCCAGCACTGGGGAGGCAGAGGCAGGTTGAAAGCCAGTCTGGTCTACATAGTGAGTTCCAGGTCAGCTGGGGCTACAGGGAGACCCTGTCTCAAAAAGAACAAAAAATAAAATAAAATAAAATAAAATGTGTCTGTGTGTTTCTGCCACATGGGTGTAGGTGTCTGTAAAGGCCAAAAGAGGGCATTAGAGCCCTTGGAGCTGAAGTTACAGATGGTTATGAACTACTTGGCACAAGTGCTGGGAACTAAAGACTGGTCCTCTGAAAGAGCAGCAAGTACTCTTAACCACTGAGCCATCTCACTGGTACATGGCTTTCACCATCTGGGACCTGGGGACTGAACTCAGGTTGGTAGGTGAGCACCTTTACCCCTTTACCCTTTTAGCCATCTTGCTGACCCTTCCGGGATAGTATTGATTTGAAATATTTTACCTCATTTTCCTGAAAGAAAACTCATTCATTCCTGTGTTCTGATTCTGCATTCCAAATACATGACTGCTCTTTCTCTAGCATGCCAAAGGAGTGGGACCAGACAGTCTGTGTCCCCTAGAGAGGCAAGTGTTCTTTACGCAGTTTTATCAGAGTGACAGAACTTAGATTCCCCCTAATGCCAACCCCTTCCAGGCTGGCCTCAGGTTTCCCCTCACTTCTGATCCCTCCAGCTACCCCCCAGTTGAGGTTTCCTCTACTGGGGCTTCTGTGGGACTTTTCACGTGGTTAGAATAGGGGAACCCTCCCCTCCTCCTAGGTAGAGCCCAGAAACAGTCTGAGCCAAGTTTTGGTTCCTCTTCTTCACACCCCTTTGGTAAAGAGAGACAGCCTGTGTGGACAGACTTTGTAGCCCATGATGCTCTGATCACATTGAGGTCATGGCCCATGGTCACACTGAGGTCATAGCTTGTAGTAATTGATCATCAATGATGAAGGGTCAAGGAGCCTGGCCTGGGGCTTGGACCGGCTTGGACCAGCTTCATCCTGCTCTACGACTGGTGAGCAGGGTGGGGTTGGAGATTTACCTCATGACCAGCTTGTGTAGGTGCCCAGCCAAGGCCATGGTTCTGTCCAGGGATCCTGAGATATGAAACAAAGTAACCCATGGGGGTTCTCCTAAACAGGGTCTTCTCTAGGTCTTCCTAGACCTGCTTGTTCAGCAGGATGACTCTCTAGCATGCCCACTCTGGGCAACTGGGTCCTTCTTCTTCCTAGTTCTTAGCCATCTAGAATTTCTGTTCATATCTTGCACTCATGGACATTAGCTGCCCACCTCAGGCAAGCAGGCATGAAGTAGCCAAAGTTGATCTCTGAATTCAAGAGGACAAAGGGAGTTGGTGAGATGGCTCAGCAGGTAAAAGTGCTTGCTATGCAAACCTGACCATTTGAGTTTGATTCCTGGAACCCACAGTAAAAAGACAGAACCAATTCCTGAAAGTTGTCCTCTGACCTCCACACATGGGTCATGGCACACATATGTACACACACACATACATAGATACACACATGCACATGCATACATTAATAATAATAATACATTTTTTAAAAGAGGGACTGGTAAGATGGCTCAGTGTATAAAGTCGCTGACACCAAGTTGACCACCTGAGCTTGTTCCTGGGACCCACATGTTAGAAAGAGAATCAACTCCCACAGTTGTCCTTTGACCTCCACCATGCGTACCCTCAAACACACGCACACACACACATACACACACACACACACACACACACACACACACACACACACAAATATTTAAATGCAAAAAAAAAAAAATAGGACAAAGGTGACGGCAAAATCTTGGCTTATAGCCAGTATTTCTGACCCAAAGTTGGAGAACAGAACCTAAAGATCTGGGAAAACAGCCCAGGACTCAGTTTGGTCAAAGGCAGGAAGCAAGGAGCCGGAAGCAGAACAGATGGAAGAATCTTAGCATACTGCAGAGAAAACCAATAAGCTAAGACCTCAGCTGCACAAGTCAGGAAATACTGGGGGAGCTGGTGAGGTGGCTCAGTGGTAGAGCACTGGCTTAGTATGCACGAGGCCTTGGATTCCAAGCCCAGTATAACAAACCAACCAACCAGAACAAAAACCCAAAATCTTATTGAGAAGCTACTACATATAGGACTTTTCTGCCTGTTCTGCCATCTCAGGGCATCTATGCTATGACAGAGTAGGATGGTAGGCCAGTGCTGCTCATGGCTCTGCAGAAGGTGGGTGGGGCCAAAGAGGAAGATCTGTATCCATAGGGACAACCACCCTGGAGATAGTGTATGGAAAACAGGTGAAGCAGGAGGATGTGCCTGATTGAAGAAGGGATCCAGAGCCAGGGAAGTCCCAGGACTCCTGGGCTCCCCTCTAGACCCTAACTGAGAGGGGTCCAGGCATATAGCTCAGAGCCTTGAGTTTGACACGTGTTATGAAGCAAGTTGCTGGTTTCCATCCTTGGAATGTAGGTTTGCTTCATGCTGTGAACATGCCCTGCTGTCCCTCTGCCCCCTACCACCACCTGTGTCTAGTAGGTCACACAGTGAGGTGAGGCGTGCAGTTAGGGGAAAGTCTTGAGGTTTCTCAGAAGCCGGGAATGGCCAGGTCTCCAGGTGGTTGCAAAGATATCCAACTGGGTCAGGGCTGGTGGTCAGCTATATGCTGTGGGCAGAAGGCACCAGCTAACCTAATCAGAGGCAGCCAGTGGTAAGGATGACAGGTGAGGGTGGGGGTACATTGTCTAGTAGGACAGTTATGTTTTTAAAATCTGATTTGGGGTTTGGCCTAGATCCTGATTAGACCTCAGGGATGGCACCATGGGGGTATCCCCTGGGCAGTCATGTGGGCCTGCACTTAGAAGGACCTCACACTTGGTTTAATGTTCTGCTGTTGCCATCTTGAACTTTTGGTTTGTTTGCTTGTTTGTTAGTTTGTATGTTTGAAACAGTTTGTCTATGTAGCCCAGGGTGGCCTCAAACTTAACAGTTCTCCTGCCTGAGCCTTCTGAGTGCTGCGATTACAGATGTATGCCACCATGCCCATCTTTGAAAATTTTAATACTTTTTCAACAAGCGGCCCTGTATTTTGCGGGGAGGGGCTTTTTGAGACAGGGTCTCCCTGTAGCCCCAACTGGCCTGGAACTCACTATGTAGACCAGGCTGGCCTTGAACCCACAGAGATCCACCTGCCTCTGCCTCCCAAGTGCTAGGATTAAAGGCATGTACCACCACGCCCAGCAGAGCCCTGTATTTTTATTTTGTATTGGACCCACAAATTGAGATGGATTGATTTTAACAGTGTTGGACAGTAGTGGCTAAACTTGCTATGATGAACCTAGCTCTCACTTCTGTCCAAACCCCACAGGCACTTCATAGCTTAAAATCTTGGCAAAAGAGTTTCTCCCAGCAAGCCTAGGAACACAGGAGGTAGAGTTATAACATAGACTCTGGATGCTGAAGAGTTGAGAGAGTTGGGTAACACCTCAAGGTAAGTTTAGGGCAAGAGAGCTGGTAGGAACCAGGGTCTAGAGCTTTCATGACCTTGCCCAGAAAGAAACTCAGAGCAGAGAAGTCTGGGGAGGCAGAACAAGGGAGAGACGGGGAGAAGGGGAGAGGGGTAGGAGAGGGGGAGAGAGAGAATGATGAAGTTTCTGAGAAACCCTGGCAGTCAATCCTCTACTGCCTGTACCCTGCAGTTCCAGGGTTTTCTGGTTGAGCTGCTCCACACATACATCCCTTGGGAGTGCAATGATGACCATGGTGCATCACTGGGGAGACTTAGGTGGATGGCAGAGAGTGGTGCCAGGGCCCATTTTTTTTTTTAAATCCCACCTAGAAAACTCTTTCAGGAATGCCTTATCTCTAGAGATAGCAGTCCTTTGCAAGAGGCAGTAACATGTTCTGGGACACGTCTAGGAGCAATGTAACTTAGCAGTCTTTGCTTCTAACTCTGGCTCACTGGACTCTGCTTCCTTATTACCATCTGGTCTCATATGTCCTTCATCTAAACAAAATAATTGTCTAAAACCTTCCAGTGAGTGATTAATTTCTTCTTGACTAGACCATAAGCTGTTTGAGAGCAAAGACTGCAGGCTCAGCTTCTCCATTAAACACATAATGTTGTGCCTTGATGATAAAAATCATATAACAAGAGATGAACAACTATAAAAATTTTTTTGAGACAGGGTGTCACATATCCTAGGCTGGCCTTAAACTCATTATGTAGCCAAGGATGATCTTGAACTTCTGATCCTCTTTCTTCCATCTCCCATGTGCTGGGATTACTAGCAAGTACTACCACACTTAGTTTATGTGTGCCAGGGATCAAACCCAGGGCTTTGGGCATGCTAGGCAAATGCCCTACCAACTAAGTACTCTCGCAACAAACAACTATATATTGATTGATTCATGAACAATGCTAATTAGCAAACTAACGTCAAGAAAACTTAGCGGGGCATGGCAGTGCATACCTTTAATCCCAGCACTCGGGAGGCAGAGGCAAGCCAATCTCTGTGAGTTCGAGGACAGCTTGGTCTACATAGCAAGTTCCAGGCGAGCTGGGACTACAGGGAGACCCTGTCTCTAAAAGAAAAAAAGAAAACTTCCAGAATTCTTTGCTATCTAGTCCCTTATTCTAATCAAAGAGAAGGGATTCCCAAGCTGTCCCCTCTCCCATGGCACAGAATATTTAGAATTCCAGCAGGGCCTGGGCAACAGGGAGCCCCATGTTCCTACTCACCAGGTCCTCCAGGTTGTAATTGGTGAAGTCCATGTCTAGGGTAAGTGGGTAGTTCATAGCTGTATTTCTGCGTCACCACACTGGTCACCGTCTGATACTGAGAAAGAAGCTCTGCGTCCGGTGCCTATGGAGAGGTGGCAGGCGTCAGCTGCAAATTTAAACAAATGAGCTGCGTGTGTCTCCTGGGGCTGTGTAGGACCTGCTGCTTGCCTAACAACTCGTCGTTTCCCCCCCACACACACACACACTGGGTCTTTTCTGTTGTGTGTGCATTTTTTTTTTTTTTAAGAAAAAGGGAAAATCCCCCACAGCATCAGTGCTAGCCAAGCATTTCAGTGTCTTTCCTGGCAATCACTATCTGAAATGGGACAGGGACTGGTATGAAGGCAGCCCCTCACTTCTGCTCACTAGACCTCTGTGAGGGATGCATATTGAAGGAAACTCTCCATAGAAAGGAGAGAAGAGCACTTCCAGCCACCTCTCCTCAGTCTTCACCTCTAGGTCTTTACCCTCTTCACCATTAGGGTGACCAACCATCTCAGTGTGCGTAGAACTGAAAGAAAGTCCCCTGTCCTGGGAAACCCCTTAGTCCTGTTCAGAACAGGTCATTTGATCAATTTGTTACCACCATCCTTTTTGCCCAGGCAGGAGCAAACTCCCTGTCCTTTTTCAACTCAGGTTTGAAAGAGGTAAATTAGAATTTTTAAAGCAAACAACCCTCAATGGTACTAGAAGACAAAAATGAAATTACCAAATGAAAGCACAACATAAACATAACCACAGAGTTATCTTGTGACTCAGAAATAGTGTTCCACCAACAACTGAACTTGGTTGTCATGTAATTATTAACACCATAGACTCCCTGACTAGAGAGAACACTGGTAGCCATCCAGGTCAGTCCCTGTTTTCATACAGGTCGACGCTGTGACCCAGAGAGGGAGACTAGCTTGCCCAAGATCCTGCAGCAAATCTGCTAACTTGCATCCAGGTTTCCTAACTCCACACTCTGCATCCTCTTCTCCAAGGCAGCTGCTCCTTCAGGTTCACAGTGCCTGTCCCTTTCCTCTTGCTTGGCCCTAGCTTGACAGCTTTTTTTTTTAATTTTTATTTTATGTGTATGAGTGTATTGTCTGCATGTGTGTGAGTGCACCCGTGTTGTACAACACCGTGGCAGTCAGAAGAGGGAGTTGTAGTCCCCTGGAACTAGAGTTAAGGATGGTTCATAGCCACCATGTGGGTGCTGGGAATTGAACCCAGGTCCTCTGCAAGAGCAGTCAGTGCTCTTAACTGCTGAGCCATCTCTCCAGTCCCGGACAGCCTTTTTTATGAAGACCTTTGGTAGATGTTGATAGATTTCCCCTCCAGGTCTCATCATTATGGGTTTTCTTCCACGAGAGGGCATTTCCTGTTGTGGTCCACGATAGTGTAAAAATGATTGTGCCCAGAGGCACCTACATATGACATGCTGTTTCTTTTTTTTTTTTGTCTTTTTGAGACAGGGTCTCCCTGTAGCCCCAGCTGTCCTGGAGCTCACTATGTAGACGAGACTGGCCTTGAATTCACAGAGATCCGCCTGCCTCTGCCTCCCTAGTGCTGGGATTAAAGGCATCTGCCACCACACCCGGCCTACATGCTGTTTCTTTACCCCAACCTTATTATCATCCTCTTTTTCCAAGCCAAATTGCCACCCACACATGGCTTGCTGTTTCTTTGCCCTGCCTTTATCATCCTCTCCTCCCCCCAAATGGCCATTTGAGGCAATATTATCCTTACCAGCGTCCTCCTTCACCATCTCCTCAGTAGCTGCCTTTCCCCTTTCTCCCTCTACACACCTTATTTATAGTCCCTGATTCACCCTCAACATATGAATTTTTCTCAGGACCCAAAGTATGAGGAGTTTTAGGTTCTGTTTGGGCTACTGAGGTCTTTTCCCCCTCTCTTCTCTGTTCACTATCTTCAGAGACTGCTTTTTAAAAAAGACTTATTTGGAACTGGAGAGATGGCTGAGCAGTTAAGAGTACTTACTGTTCTTGCAGAGGGCCAGAGTTCAGTTCCCAGCACCCATATGCAGTGGCTCACCACCCCCTGTAGCTCCAGCTCCAGGGGATCTGATGCCCTCTATTGATCTCTGTGGGCACTGCACACACATGGTGTACATCTATATTCTCAGGTACACACATAAAATAAAATAAAATAAAATAAAATAAAATAAATCTTTTTGTTTTTTTGGTTGTGAGCCTGAGCCTTTAATGGCCGTGCCAGCTCTCCAGCCCTATCTTTTTAAAAAAGACTTACTTACTTTTATTTTATGTGTATGAGTGTTTTGCATGTGTGTATGTATGTGTACCATGTTTGTGCCTGGTGTCCACTGAGGCCAAAAGAGGGCATTGGATCCCCTGGAACTGTGTTATGGATGGTTGTGTGTCATGAGGTAGGTGCTGGGAACTGAACCCGAGTCCTCTGCAAGAGCAGCAAGGGCTTTTAACCACTGAATCATTCCTCCAGCACCAGAAATTGCTCTTTAAAAATTTACAGAGATGGCTCAGTGGTTAAGAGCACTTGCTGTTCTTTCAGAGGATCTGCGTTTGGTTCCCAGCAACCACATGGCAGTTAACAACTGTCCATAACTCCAGTTCCAGGGGATCCCATGCCCTCTTCTGACCTCCGTGGGCACTGTATGCACATGGTGCATATGTTTACATACATGCAGGCAAAAGATCCATAGACATAAAATACAAATCAATCAGTCAATAAAATATTTTATATATTTTTTATTATTTTTATTTTATGTGTATGAGTGCATTGCCTGCATGTATGTGAGTGCACCCATGTCGTGCAATGCCTCGGAGGTCAGAAGAGGGCTTTGGATTCCCCTGGAACTGGAGTTAAGGACGGTTCATAGCCACCATGTGGGTGCTAGGAATCGAACCCGGGTCCTCTGCAAGAGCAGTCAGTGCTCTTAACGCTGAGCCATCTCTCCAGCCCCCAATAAAATATTTAAAAAATTTATCTAAGCCGGGTGTGGTGGCGGATGCCTTTAATCCCAGCATTTGGGAGGCAGAGGCAGGCAGATCTTTGTGAGTTCAAGGCCAGCCTAGTCTACATAGTGAGTTCCGAGGACAGCTGGGGCTACAGGGAGAGCAGAAGCTCCTGTTTCCAAACAGAGATAGTTACTGAGGCTTAGGACTATTTCTTAGTAGCAGTATAGGAGCACAACTTGTAGGAGTCAGTTCCCTTTTTCCACTTTGGGATTAGATTTACAGCCGTCAGGCTTGGCAGCAAGCACCAATGCCTGATGAGCCATCTCACTGACTCCAGAAGTTGCTCTTAAGGAGGAGGAAGAATCCCAGGACAAGGGATCAGAGCTCCTCTATAGTCCTACGCCCTTCTGGGACACACTGCCTCACTACTTCCTGTGTCCTAAGCTTGCTGAGCACTGCTCATCCTTCCAAGCCTACTCCCAACATTTTTGCCCGTCCAACCCGTCAACATGCACAGTTTAGCTTTTGCCATTCTGGAAAAAAAAAAAAATCACAGAGATTCTTCTAGGAATTGAAAGGAATTTTGGTCGACAACAATCCAAACTCATTTTACCTTCACCCCCAACAAATGCAAGCTGGATGGTGGTCATTGCATCCTCATCAAATGATGACTCAGTCCTGACAAATATCAGGGGTAAAGAAGTGGCTCCTCTCAAGGAATGTCATATCAGATGTGGGGGTGAATGTCTGTCATCCTAGCATTTGGGAGGCTGAGGTAGGAAGATTGTGAGACCAGACCAGGCTACACGGTGAGGCCCATCCAAAATAGAGAAAAAAAAAACAAAACAAAAAACAATGAGAATGAGAGGAGCAGAGCAGAGTTCATGCTTTGGTACACAGTGGTTTAGTGTTTAGTATTAGAAACTTACTCCTCCTGCTGAGTGAAAATACATCTTCCTGCGACTCATCCCCAGTGGTCCTGGCTGGGCTTCAGTCCAGACCACACAGCACCTCTCTCAATCAGTGACCTCTGGAGACAGACATCATGTGCCTGCGAGTCTCATCTGCCCCAAACCCACATCCTCATGCCTTCAACCATTTTTCAAAGACCTGGTATCTAGGTCCTTCATCAGTCTGTTCTTTGACCTCTGGGTGATTTCCAGTCAGAGGTCCAGAAATTCTCCAACTAGGGCATACTATAGGAAAATATGGGTTTCCTTGTCCAAGGCTCTAAAGTTATTTAGCTACAATTAAGATGACCTTTTTTTTTGTGAGCTCCCTCCTTTTCCTCTTGACAATGCTTAATGGGGCTCATGTGGATGGCTCAAATCCATCCTTTCATTCTATAAAGGGAAACTTTTACCACCTGTAGGTATAACGGCAACATAAAAAAAAAAGCCATCCCAGGGTCTTTCCAAGTCTTGATAGAAACTCTTGGCAGGAGAAAGCCAAAAACAGAATCCTGCTTTGTGCTGCTAGACACCTACTCTTCTCAAAGGTCAGGGAAGACTTCATGGAAGTAGGATTTAAGCTGGACATCAAAGGTTTGGAGAAAGTGGAAACATGATACACCTGCAGGGGCTGTATGATGGGGGCATGGGAGATGATGACATCATGAAAAATGTGTGGAAACAATTGTGGCATGCCTGGCACACTGTGGGCATCCAGTGTGGGAGTGCGGTGACAGTGATGATGATGATAGGAGGCTAGAGGAGACTGGTGTGTGCGCTGGACAAAGTAGAAATTGCTCTTAGGGCTGTCTCCTCTCTTGCTCTTCCCATTACTGTCCATTTCCAAAAGGAAAGGTTGGCAGGAAGGCTCAGGACTATTTCTTTTTTCTCTTTCTTTCTTTCTTTCTTTCTTTCTTTCTTTCTTTCTTTCTTTCTTTCTTTCTTTCTTTTTTGGCCTTTTTGAAACAGGGTCTCCTTGTAGCCCCAGCTGGCCTGGAGCGCACTATGTAGACCAGGTTGGCCTTGAATTCACAGAGATCTGCCTGCCTCTGCCTCCCAAGTACTGGGACTACAGATATGTGCACCAACGCCCGGCAGGACT